TACAGTTAAAGGATATGTATTTAGTGATATGATAGCAATCTCAATTTGATTGTATTTTAAAAGAAGGCACCAAAGAATTATAGCATTTATAACTAGAATTTCATCCATCATATATGTCCTCAAAACCACTCTAGTTTCAGTGGTATTAGTAATATAGAAATCTTGAAGACACATGCATATTCAGGGTTCAATTTATATATTATGTATAGTTCGGTTTTTGAGCTGTTTCCTTAAATAGAAAATTTTAATCATATTCTTGAGGATTTTTTCAATAAAATATAACTTTACTGTAGGGATTTGTAGTGGAGTATTTGCACCCTCTGAAAGGGCATTTTTTTCTTATGTTTTTTTTTTTAACTTAGAGGCTCAGTCTTTTAATTAATTGAAAAGAAAGCTAACCAATTAGTAAGGAAATGTTCTATCCTTACCTGAGGATTTTAAAGGTGTATGTGTGTGTGTGTGTGTGTGTGTGTGTGTGTGTGTGAGAGAGAGAGAGAGAGAGAGAGAGAGAGAGAGAGAATGAGGTAGGTTACATTTTGAATTCTTAAAGAGAAAGGTCTATGGAGTAAAACTAAGATAAATAATCTGGCATTGAGGTCCTCCTGAGAATAACTTCTTCTGAAATTGATTAATTAAAATATATGTTTGGGGCAACCCTTTCAGGTCCCCTCCTGCTGTGAAAGCTTTTCTGTTTTCTCAATAAATCCTACTTTCTCACCTTAAAATATATATATATACATATATATACACACATATGTTTGAACTTCCTAAGTTTATTTCAGCTTTAAAATTATGTCAGCTTTGTTCCATTTGAGACAGTGTCTTGTTACCTTTGTTAATTTTTTGAAAAGGTTCTGTCAATATTTATTGGAACACAAAAATTGGAGTCTGTGCTATGTTGTCTGATCTACAGCAAGTTAATATTTTCCTTTTTTTTCTTAATTTAAGTTAATGCTTTCATCTGAGCTGATGCTACAGAGTAAAAGAATGATCTTCCAGAGGGGAGATTGAGAAGAGCATTATAAATCCTCTAAACTTCAGAGAGTTGGACATTCATGGAATTGAAGAGGCTCTTTATACCTTTTTAAATGTTTTATTTCCCAAATCTTTTTATTTTGGGCCTATAGAAAGTTATCTTCAAGGTCTCACTTGAGCTATTTCAGAATAATCATTTTAAGCAATAAAGGATTTAGGATTAGTTAATAATGCTTGACTCTATTAAAAATGTAAACAAGATTCCATATAGCCTTCTCCCACATGTTGCCCATAATAGAGGATTTTAGCACTAAACAAAAACAAGATTCAGGCTACTGTATCCTAGAGAAATTGCCCATTGGGGAGCCATTTTTCCGGTTCATATTTTTTAAAGATAAAACTTGTCACACCATCTCAAGCCTTGGCATTCAAGCAGTGATATTGCTGATAAATGTTAAACAACTGACTTTCTGGTGGGCAAAAGAGTCCTATGTATATATACTGCAGATTGTCATATTAAAATATTTCATTGTGACAGGAACATATCATAATGGAAAAGATTAAAATTAAAGAAATAGAAGAAAAATCACTGACAAATGCTGAGGAGATGTTTTTTTCCTTCTTAAACTGATACAGCTTAGAAGCCAAGGGCCTACTTAAGGAAGATCTAATCTGTTTAGGTAGTCAAAGAACTCTGGAGAACTTAAGATGGGAATTGCTTCTTCATCTTCCCTGAACTAGTGATTTCAATTTACACTTTTTAGTGATTTCAGGTTACATGTAAAAAAAAATGTTAACTAAACATTAGCATAAGATAAAATAATTTTTAAGAAGTAAGTGACTCACAGATAACGTTCTAGCAGGGTATATATGGCCACCAAAAAGGCACTCTTTTTAAACTGAAAGAGAATAGAATTGCAGAAGAATAAATGGAATGAAATGATCCCTCATTCCTGTAGTCTTGAAGAGGATCTTTATAAAGAGTAGATTGACACAGAAAGTCACACATGGACAAATTGTGTCATTTGCCCAAGCCAACTATTTGCCTCCCAAGTTAGAGGCTTACCGACTATATGGCATCAAGTTTTTGAGAGGCGATAACAGTTTCTGGCAGAATAAGTTCAGTTGTTCCATAGACAGGCTTCAAGCACCTGGAAAAAATATATCCAAGCCAAATATCTCTAATTCCATTTGGGCAAAAATGCTGATATGTAAAAAGCTTGTAAACACTAGACACTATTCAGTCTTTTTATTTCAAATATATTAAATCGTTTTGACTATTTACAAAAGTAATCTTTACCAAAATGTTCCCTCAATGCTTTCTTTAGATTCATTCACTCACCCATAACATTTATCGAGTAGATGCTCTGTGTCAGGCCTGCAGCTGATTGCTGGGTAAATCACTGGACTAAATAGTCCAAAGGTCCTTTCAAACTCTCAGGTGGAGGCAGGAGTTGGAATTGAGAAAGAGGAAAGAAGTCAGCTTCTGATAATAGACACCTGAAAATACAAAATTTATTTAAATATGGGTTTAATATTTTAGACATCTAGACAACTTCCAATGACTGGGACATTTGCTTCTTACTGAAATAATTGAGCCACATTCCCAAAACATTATAGAATATAACTCTAAATGAAAACCAGATTCAGGCTACTGTATCCTGGAGAAATTACCCATTGGGGAGCACAATGGTTCATCATATAGAGTAAAGATTTCTTCTTGTAAACAACTTAGGAAAACCAATGCAGGGCTATGCAAAAGAATATATAGAATTAAAATATATCAGGGAAGTTAAAAACTCTTAAGTATCATCAGGTTTAATTATCTCCTTAAAATATCTCCACCCTATGATCCCATTGCTTTCCGTAAATTGTCTGCCAGAATAAGGTTACTATTTATGAAGTAGATTACATCTATTTAAATAATTACTTTCTATTGCCAAAGAGACTGAATGTTGACTAATTAGATCAGGCAACAACTTTAAAATGTAATGTGACAAGTAATTTTTATTTATTGAATCATTTGTGTATAGGTAACACAGTTAATATCATTTGTTGACTGAGAGAACCCAGGGGTCTTAAAACTCTATCTTTTAAAAAGTTTTTATTATATTGATGATTTGTTTGTTAAATTTGCTAGGAATATAATAATGCATTTCCAGTGTGCTTTACTGTGTACCATTTTGTGACAGTAAATTCATAGAAGCAATGTATGCATGTATTGACAGTACATTGTCTACTTACTTAAATGTTGGTGAGAACCAGGACCAAGTTTTGCAAAGAAGAAAAACAAGAAATACGTTTTTAGTCATATAGGAAAACCTGAATACTTTCCATAACAAAATCGTTAAGTAGAAAGTGCACTGTGACTACATACTAGAAATTTACCATATAGAAATTCATATTACATTTGACTTTCCTTCTATATATGATAAAATCTACTCTTAAACAGTATGTCAGTTTGATATATGTAGTATATCAATTTTAGTAATATATTATATTTAGTGATGAATGAGATTTTTAAATGCTATGATAAATAATTTTTAGGGATTTAGATAGATTGGAACTATATATTACAGTACTATTATATATCATAACATTTTAAATTTCTGAAAAAAGCCTACAATTTAGTGACATAGTACTAAATGTATTTTAAGTATAGTGTTATCAGCACAGGGCTGTATTACCTTAGGAACTGTCCTATGACTTTTTAATCACTTTGAAAAAAAGGATGTTTCTTTCCTGTTTGTTAAAAAGATTTATTTAATGCTCTATCTGTGCCAAAAACTGGACAAAATTTTATTTTCCGCTGGCACATTCAATGATACAAAATTGTTGTTTTTCTTCTCATTAGAAAAATATGTAGAGATTTCTTAGTTAAAAAAAAAGTTGCAATGAAGTTGCCAAATTCACATTTCTAATGAAAATTTACCTTTTTACCTCTCTGAATAAAGAAAACACGAAGTTTAGTCTTCCTGAACTTTATAAATTCAGGCTAATGCAAAGAGAAAAAAAAAGAGATCAGAGTTTGTATATTCTCTGAGTTATACTTTGAATAAGACCAGGACACTGTTTCCCTCATCTTTACTACACTTATTAAATTTGTGCAAACGTATAGGGCACATGGCAAATTTTGTCATATGTGTATAATGTATGGTGATGGTCATGGTATTCAAGTCATGGTATTTCAAGGTGTCTATCATCTAAATACAATACATTTTTGCTACATATTGTCATCCTACTCTACTGTTAAACACTGTTTATTCCTTCTATATAACTTTATATTTGTTCTCTTTAACCCACTTCTCTTCATCCTCCTCACTCCTACTCAACCCTCTCAGTCTGTGTTATCTGTTTTTCCACTGTCTACCTCCATGTGTTGTGTTGAAATGTTTAACTCCCAATGATAAATAAGAACATGCAATATTTGCCTTTCTGTGCCTGGAATATTTTACTTAAGATAATGACCTCCAGTTCTGTCCATGTTGTTTCAAAGGGTACGATTCCTTTCTTTCTTTCTTTCTACAGCTGAAGAGTGTTTCATTGTGTATCTATACCACATGTTCTTTATTCATTCGTCTGTTGATGGACTCTTAGGTTGATTCCATTTCTTTGCAATTGTGAATAGTGCTGTAATAAACATGGCATGCAAGTGCAGGTATACCTTTGATATTTTCATTTCTTTTCCTTTGGGTCGATACCCAATTGCTGGGCCAAATGGTAATTCTACTTTTAGTCTTTTGAGAAATCTCCAGACTGTTTTCATCGTGGCTATACTAGTTTACATTCCCACCAAACAGTGTGTAAGAGTTCCCTTTCCTCTGCATCCTTGTGAATATCTTAATTTTTGTCTTTTTAAAAATAGCCATTCTGACAGGCATCAGATGTTATCTCATTATGGTTTTAATTTGCATTTCACTGATGATTAGTGATGCTGGGCATTTTTTCGTATACCTATTGTCCATTTGTATATAGTCTTTTGAGAATTACTCCACTTCTAAGGCTTTGTTTGTTTCTTCTCTCAGAATGGACTCAACGCTCTCCATCTGGCTGCCAAGGAAGGCCATGTGGGGCTGGTTCAGGAGTTGCTGGGAAGAGGATCCTCTGTGGATTCTGCCACCAAGGTAATGTTCATGCTGGTAGATTTGTTCTTCTTAAAAAATAGGAAATGATTTAAAGCTTCTTTTTCTGGTTGTATATTTCAAAGGTTCATTGGAACACTAAGATTCCAACCCCACAAAACTAAACTTAAAGCCTTCTCCATTAAACTTTGCAGAATTTGAATTGTTTCATTTAAAGACTTATCAGACATGAAACTGAAGAAATCTATAAATCCAGTTTCTAACATTTTGTCTTTCTTTGATTCACAAAAAGGACAAGATTAACACAATCCTCTGTAAACAATAACACCTATTTTCCTAAGGTTAACTTAATTTTTAAAAGGCATACCGATGTGGTAAACTTCTCAATGGAAATGAACAAGTAATTTTCATGCTTCAGTTAAATTGATATATCTTCTGACGTATTCATTCTATTTGGTATGAAACTATACAGAATCCTATATACTCTAATGAAAAAGAGATTTTGGATCACGTATTGAATTGTTAGGTGAAAGTTAGGTTTTACCAGTACAAAGTGTGTTCGTAAAGAAAGTAGATTCATTTTTTAAAAATTTACACGATGCTGGATATACTAGAAACTGTTGCTGTCTTCTTAATGCTGCTTTTGCTACAATATGTTTGAAACTGTTGGAGATTTATGTCATAAGCAACAGATATTTAAAAAGATATTATTAGTGGTGACAAATCTTTGTCTTGTGAAGGTGAAATTTGTATTTGGAAAAATATAGTAGCTAATCAGACTCAAGCATGATGGCACAGGGCTGGAGTGTGATAATACCACTGTGGGAGATGCAGAGAGAAGTTACACACTCAAGCCGCTGGCTAGGGCATTAGTCTACTCAGGGGTAAACAACAACAACAAAAAGGAGTGTGGGAAAAAAATAGAAACATGGCCAGTTAACCTGGATTTCCACCACCTATATAACTGCCAAAATGTACACTAGTTCTGCTTATAGTGTAGTAAACAGTAATTCTAGCAGAAATGGAAACAGGCAACTCTCTGGCAATTCCAAAGTAGTTAAAATATAAGTTCACTATATGCAATAAATTGCTTACTCTGAACATAAAGAGTAAACATTTTTGTTAACATTTTGCATTAGTGTGCCAAATAATTGTTGAACAAATATTTAAAGAATATCTATTTGAGTGTAGATCAAATTATTTGCTTCCCCTGAGGTGCCCATATTAATATAATTAGCATATTCATTAAACCAAACACACATTTTTTTTTTTTTTGAGTCGGGATATCACTTTGTTTCCTAGGCTAGAGTGCTGTGGCACAATCACAGCTCACCGCAGCCTCAAACTCCTGGGTTCAAGCAGTCCTCCCACCTCAGCCTTCCTAGTAGCTGGGACTGCCTGTGTTGTGCCATCATGCCTGGCCAGTATTTTTATTTTTTGTAGGTTTTGCTATGTTGTCCAGGCTGGTCTCAAAGTCCTGGGCTCAAGCAATCCTCCCACCTTGGCGTGATAAAGTACGGGGATTACAGGCATGAGCCACCATGCCCAGCCCAACCACTTTTTGGTTGCTTGTTTGTTGTTGTTTTTCTTTTTTCCTTTCAGCTCTATTGATATTTTAAGCAGGTTTACTTTTAATTACAAACTAGAGCTGCAGAGTTTTCCAGGGAAAAAAAAAAAAACGTTTAAAAAGAAAGAGGCTGTGCTCAGTGGCTCAGCCTGTAATCCCATCACTTTGGGAGGCTGAGGCGAGAGGATTGCCAGAGCCTGAGGGTTCGAGACCCACCTCGGCAACTTGGCGAGATCTCGTCTCTACAATAAATAAAAAAAATTAGGCCAGCGTGGTAGTGCGTTCCTGTAGTTCCAGCTACTTGGAAGGCTGAGGCGGAAGGATCGCTGGAGCCCAGCAGGTCGAGGCTGCGGTGACCACGAGCGTGCCACTGCCCTCCAGCCTGGGTGACAGAGTGAGACTCTAACTCAAAATAAATAAATAAATAAATAAAAATAAAAAGAAAGAACTGAGCCCCCAAAATACTGAGTGGTTAATGGTAGAAAGAGAACTAGAGGCCAAACTCTATGGCTTGGAATCTACAGTTTTCTGTTTGTTTTTCTTTTAAAAAAAATTTTTGTTATTTATTTTGATCGCATCACAGGTATTTTTAATCTCTTGGCCTATATTTTATTTTCACCAAAGGTTTAAATTATTTTTCATTGGTGATTGGTGTTGTGGATGGTAAATTTTGATGAAGCAAATGGTATAAGTCATTGGTAACACTATGATTCATGTAAAATTTATTTTTTTAGTTCCAAAATATTTTGGTCAACAACCATGTGCCCTAGTGACTGGAAGCACAACTGTAAGCAAACTCAATTTCTGTACTTAATGGTAGAGAAAATTTTCCTTTCTTTGCAAGGAAAAAAAAAAAGACCTCAATGTTTCAGTAAACTTTTTCTTTTTGTAGTTACTGTTTTCTTGCAGTAGGACTCTAAATCACATGAATCTCATGAGATGTTGTCTCATATACACACACATCCCAAATGTTTTGTTTCATTGAGAACTTAGTCATTTTATATTCTCAGCACAATGCCAATGTTGTGAAAGACAGGAAAGGAAGGCACTGAATGAGATGGCCACTTTTTTTTATGGTAAAAAGTAATCCTTTTGCAAGTGGGCTTCTATCTTGATAAAATGACAAATTTCAGTCTGTTGAAGTAATCACAGCAAAGTTGAAAATGGCTGTACATTTTGGTTTCTACACATTTTCGAAACCTCTTTTTTGCTTTTTCTCTCCAAAACAGAAGGGAAATACTGCTCTTCACATCGCATCTTTGGCTGGACAAGCAGAAGTTGTCAAGGTTCTTGTTAAGGAAGGAGCCAATATTAATGCACAGTCTCAGGTATTACATCCAGGTTTTCTCTGATTTAAATAAATTTAAATTATAATAGTTTTGTGAAGTTGATTTAACAGGTTCAGCTAGCTGTTGGGCAACTAAATTTATTATAAATGCTCTATTGTTTATTTTAGCCAAATTATTCTAACTCATGCTAATTTTTTGACATATTATGATCTCCCTTTTAATGAAACTGAACGCTTGACAAATGTAAGTCTATCATGGTATTTATGTATTTTTTAAAAGGATATAAAGTGACAGTGACTTTTTTTTTCAGAATGACAGCGACTTGTGTGAAATATGAATGATTCATGAAAGTTCCATGTTGCTTTATGAAAGTATTTTCTTGCCTTAAATTTTAAAAAAAATTCTCAAAATACTAGCATTCCAGTGGGAAATCTGCTACACAGTGGGAATTACACACTTTGGTTGCCTTATACTCCAATTGCGGCCTTTACTAAACTGCCTGCCAAGAGCAACAAGCAAATTCAAGTCCCATGGTCTTACGATGAACATAATAATAAGTAGGAAATGCATGGTTTCAAAATGAAATGAAGAAAAATTTAAATAATAATTATTTAATCAAGTTATACCATAAACTTAACCCCTAATTTTTTTCTAGTAGAAAGGGGAAGAAAATATTGTTGTGTCCAAAGCTTTACTCTCGGTATATATCCATGTAGTTATGTGGGAATTGAGGAGTAAATCTTTATAACCAATTTATTCTCTCTATTTTGGGGAGTTTTATCTTTAGCCTTTCTGATGACACAGACCACATCATGGGGGATATTGACAAAGTAAGCCAGCTCTTTTTATGATCTATTGCTTGGGATAAGCTCACAAGCCTGCCTTTGAAGGTTGTTATGTAGGAATATCTGCTGCCTGTACAGATCATTCATTATGTAGACATGGCTCTAGTTCTATAGATTCCACAAGTTCTGGACCCAGAAAATATTAAAGGCAATTGTTAGAATAAGGTCTATTTTCTTTTATTTTGATTTTGAGAAAAATCTATTGAAATGATGACATATAAGATAGTATCAATTTTGATCTCTGTAATGTAATATTGTTTTAATTAGTCGCTTTTTCCTCCTTACAACTCAAACTTTTAACATGTAGTGAGAATAAAAACCTGTATTAAGTAAAATTTTTATAATTTTGTAATATCTATAGAGAACACCTGCATATTCTATAAAGTATAATAGCATCTTAGGTTTGGAGACAAAGAAACCTACAAAAATCTTCTGTTTCAAAGTAAAGAGTAAAAACATTTTTATCAAGAGAAAATCTTTTTGCTTTAGAGCAGAGGCTTGCAGACTTTAGACTGCATCATAATCTCCTGCAGGACTTGCTGAAACACATGTTTTTACTCCCCGTTCCAGAATTTCTAATTCATTGTTGGGGTGAAACCTGTGAGTTTTCATTTTTTACAAGTTCTCAGCTGATGCTAATGCTGCTAGTTCAGGGACCAGACTTTGAGAACTACTTTAGAGAATGTGAGAAAAAGCATATAAGCATAGATTCAACTACATGCCTGAAATAATAGTGCACTTACAAAGCATGAAAATGAAAACTTGGTTAGGTTCGCTTGCTTATAGGAAATCCCTCCTACTTTGGCAGGAAATACACATATACATTGGTACTGTTAATATCTATGAAAAGAGCATGTTTACTTTTCTCAAAATGACTTGTTGAGCTTGTACTTGTCATAAAAGTTGAGCAGTTTAACAAATGCTGCAAGGTAAATGCTTGTTAAAAGCTATCATATAGTTATTATACTGTGGTTATTGAAAATGTATATGCTTTGGAGATTCTTCAAGGAGAATAAGCTAAAACCATTTAATCAATAAATTGCTTTCTGAGTTAATGAGCCTTTTATCAGTCGTAATCATGCCAGGTTATAACATCTTAAAAGAAGGTTTGTATCATCATTAAGACATTAATCTCATTTGTGCTATCTGCTATTAGCTCAATTTAAGATTTCTACTGTAGGGAATCTTGACAAATAGCTTCCAACTAATATATTATAGGAAATATTTAGAATGAGTATAATTAATAATTAAATCTTAGGATATTTTTCTAAATGTTTTTCTAGGTCATTGGCTAAGGCCAATGACTTCTTTACTATATTTAAAGTATGTAGCTATCATTACCAATTGGCAAAAATTATTGTTACTTAGAATATTATTATTTTTATTTTTTTATTTTAAAGATGTGGGGTACAATTCAGGGTTAGGTATACAAATGTTCATTATGCAGGTACCCTTGTTAATAAGGTGTGCCTCTCCCTCCTCTGGCAGTTTCCCTCAACTGCCAATTGTACGCCCCCCCAGCAGTTTCCCACTACTGCCAATCCCTTTACTTAGAATATTTTATAAGTCAATGAGTAAAAATTAAAATGTGTGAATTTATATACATGGGTTGATTATTTTGCCCCTGTATGTGTGTAAATCTTAAAAGTCACGGTCTTAGGGCCATGCAGGAAGACGTGAGTTCTTCCTCTTATGTGATTCCCCTCAGTCTTGTCTTATTTAAGATAGATATTTCTTTATGTGGACACATTGGGTGTCAGGTGGATGGGTAGGAGACATACTCGTGGCAGTTGGACTGTCACTTCCTTTTGAGAACCAGAAAAAGGGTGTAGGAATCCCAAGTGCACAACATAGAGTCTGAATTTTTTATTCAAATTATACCTTCTTTTACATCTTTCTAAGAATGTAATTCAAAGCACTGAAATGCAGAATAGTCTGAAATTATAGGAACATTGGCAGCTGCATAGTACTTTGCCTTTGACAAACGTCTAGTTTGGAAATAGACCACAGAAGATAATTTTGAATTAAGAAGGTAAAAAATCTCTCTGAAAAGCTCCAGGAATAAAAATCTTGGAATTCATGGGTTATGGAGAAGTACACATTTATGGATTTTTTCTGCATTCTTTACATACACTAAGAGATCCATGTGAGGCTTATGTTCCATCATAAGGCACCAATTTTGGTAAGCAATATCCTTAATTTATTGTGTCCCAGAGCACCAGCAGGATTGATTTAACTACTTTAAATGGTATTATGTAAATTGATATCATAACAATGAACAAATGTTTATTTACATTTCTGTATTCATCAGTGATATTAGTGTGGTTTCTACTGAGCTAATTCTCGGTATACTTTTAAGTACTGACACTGACCATGTAGCTCTCCAGCTTGGTTGGCATGGAGGTCTCATCCAGCAAGACCTCAGTGAAAGCTATTTTGGTGGAATAATGGAGCTGGAAGTCAAGTTGTAGTGAGTTGAGGAATGTTATTTGCTTTGAAGATGATTGTTTGCTTTCTGAAAACATGAGCATTTTCAGGCATCTTAATATCCTCTAAACAATCCTATATAAAAGATGTTGGAATAATTTTCACCTATCTGTATGGGACATTTGTTTTGTCATTTTTTTAAAAACAAAGTTTATTTAGAAAGTAAATTAGAGAGAGAGAAAGGGAGGGGGAAGAGAGAGAGAGAGAGATTTCAAATTTTGCTTTTCATATTAAAATTCCCAGAAGCTGGGAAGGTAAAACTTACATTTTCCAGACTATTTTACAAATAAGGTTCTGTATGTTTTTAGGTTCAACATCCAGTCATACAAATTGGTGAAAGATGTAAAAAGCAAAAGTGAGGTGGAGGGTACAATTCTACTGTTTCTATGACAAGCATTATCACAAGGTTTTGGTTTTTTTCTGTGGCAGTCATCAGCATTAGTCCTGCCTGGTATCTAGTTACTAACTTTGTGAAGTTCTGAGGCAGGGTGTGGGCATCCATTTTGCTAGCACGTATGACAGCAGGCCGATTGGTCCTTGTTCAGGATGATGCAGCAAGGGGCAAGAGCATCCCAATCATGGCTGGCAGCATGCTGATAGCGACAGTGGTAGTATGGTTGTGAAGTCCATGGCTTCACCTTCAGAAGAGGCAGAAGTTTCACTGGTGACCCACTTCTGTAGTCACTCCTGCACAGCAAGAGAAGCTGCATTGTCAGAAAGTAAAATTTGCTCCCCTTCCAATTGCTGATATAATGTCGCATTTTTAGGCCAAGTTTCTGTAGCTGCGATCTGGGAAATGAAGGCTTCCACCACTAGAGACATGTCGGTGGGGAGGCCCTGTACCCAGGTGCCTGCCCTCCACGGGCCTCTTCGTCCTCCTCCGCAACCCAGGTGGCTCTCAGCAGCTCACAAGCCTAGCCCTACAGACTTACTAAGTCCTGTTTGGTCATTTTATAGCATGTGAATTTATTAGACCAGAGACATTACTTTTACAAAATTATTTCAATTCTATATTGCTATCAGAGAAATTATATTTTGAGAATATTTTTAAAAACATTCTGAGTCATGTTTTCCTTTCAATACTTAGAGCACTTTTTGTTTACTTTTTGCCTGTTGATATTTGCCTATCTCAGATTTATTTTTTAAATGTATATCTACTATTTCTCCAAGATTGTAAACTTCTTGGGAACAAATAACTTTTTCTTGCGCTTCACTATAGTTTTAGCATTTTGCATAATATATTGCACATATGTGACTACATGCATGTATACCCTTCATGTATAAGAGTTAGCTTTGTTGTATATGTTCCAGTCATGCCTAATCATAGACATAATAATAATGCAGGTAATACCATTGACTCTCAGGCACTGTCTCTGGTGTGTTGTATACATTATGTCTTTTGTTCTTCATTTACTTTGTCATTACTGGTGACAAACTGAGACTCAGATGGGTCATTTACAGGCCTATCATCCTCATCTCCAGGCAGCATTGCTGCTTGTAGTTCTCATAACAGTTGCATCTTCTCTATAGAACTCAAAGAATAATTTTTAAAATTCCGTTGTCTTCTAACCCAAATTTTACTCAGGTCAGAATTAGCTAATTCTTTTACAGTCCATGCAAAAGCTTTAAGGTGGAAAATGTTCACTTAGTATTTTTATGAGCTATAAATGCTCTGCAAAATGTTCAAAACATGAGCAATTTTGCTAT